CTGTGAGGAGATTTTACAGATGAGACTGTACTGAATAGACTATAGTCATTCTTTATTTTTTGTTTCCCTTCTCTCTCACTTTAGTTATAACATTCCATGGAACTGTAATAGCAAAATTTTGTATTTGCATCTTTTCCAGTGAGTGTAATAGTTTCAGGATAAGGTTATGTTTTTTGCCCCATATTTTTATACAATTATTTTGATTTTTTTATCACTGTCCATTTGATGCTATGTATATGCTGTGATGATGACTTGACATTTTAGCAAGTATTTCACAGTATTTAGCAGCAACTTTCTGTCCCTTTCTGTGTCATGGACTAGTAGTGCAGGGTTGCACTGTAACAATAGAGTCCTAAGTGACTCCAGTGGATCTAGAATGGTGTAACTCTGGTGAGGATTGCACTTCAAGTATTCCAAAGTGATTTAGACCATCCTCCAGGCCATATGTCAAGATTTCTGATGTGGTTGGCTCTGTCAGAAAGAGGAAGAATGTATGGTATTTCATATTTAAAAATCAATGAGGCTGTGTGCATGCATACAATGATGTGAACAGGGCAGAAGAGGAACGGTTTGCTGCCCCTTGTGGCACTGAAATTTTAATTGTCAGGCCTCCATCATACCTTCTTTTAAAAGGTTATCTTTCTCTTAAAAACAACAAAGGCAGAGCTAATATGAATAAAAACTTGTTACCTGATATAGCAGATGCAAGACTGGATCTAGATTCTATACCCTGCTAATAATAAAAGTTTTGAACTGCTGACACATGGGGCTCACTGTTGACTAGATCTGTGTGTCCTGAAATGAACTCTGTAGCTCTCATCGCCGACTGTGGGTGAGGTCTGTGTGTCAGCAGTTTACATTTTCCATCGTGGACAGTTACATATAGGCAAAAGTGATCTTGGTATACCTGATAGCAGTCAATACCTACTGGCCCTTAGGCTTCCTAGTTTCATGATGTTATGGCCCACTACATTGCCCCAGTAGAAGCAGCATGCCTTAAGCGAAGCACAGATTTTGTTTTGTTTTCTTTTGTTTAAAACCATCTTGATTTCATAACGGCAGTTTTTCCTCATGTGTGGGGTGAGGGTAACTAAAGATGAGTCACAAGATTGCTGATAACAAAGTCTGAGTCCAGTGGCACCATTAAGAGCAACAAAATTTTATTCAAGGTATATGCTTTCGTATGTAAGCACACTTCTTCAGCAGTTCAGGAGAGCTTCACTTGCTGGCCAGGGGCTGTAATCCCAAGAGTGGTCCTTAATAAAAAATGCCATTGTTTAAAGTTCCTAATGCACACCAGAACTTTAGGAAAAAAGATAAATTGATTAAAGATGTTTGATGAGATATCATACTGGGAGTATTTTTGTCAGTGCAGGGGTTGCATTTCTAAACTACCTAGATCTGTGTTGAGAAGCTTTGTTAATACAGCGTCTTTCCCACACTTTTTTTTTCTTTTCACAGTCTAACAAAGTCCCAGTTGTGCAGCACCCACACCATGTACATCCTCTTACGCCGCTTATTACATACAGCAATGAACACTTCACACCAGGCAATCCTCCTCCACATTTACCAGCCGACGTAGATCCGAAAACAGGTAGGTTGAAAGAATTATTGCAGAGAGATGCTGGAGAAGGTGTTAGTGTGGGGGAGTGGGAAGGAAGTTTCTTAAAATACCATGTAGCTATATCAGCTGAGAAGAATATTTGTTGAGAAGCAAATATAATAAAATAAAATTAGCATTTTTGTAATAAGTGACTGCCTTACTGCAGGGATACTGTATCCTGTCATTAAGGCCTTAAATTCTATTTTAGTGATAACAGCTAAATAACTGCAGTGCAGTCCCATTTCTAACATTTATGATTACTATGGGCAATTGGATATATTGACTAAAAATTCAACAGTAAATAAAAGCTCGTAATAAATAGTGTTACTTTTTATAGTAGGCCATGTAGCAGATTATGATAAGGAGCAGATACTTTTTTGAAGATGGTGGGCTATTTTGACTAATGGTGTTAATTAAATACTTTTAAAGCATTTTGAAGAAATATTCTAGGGAAGAGGAGAAATGATGCTTCCATTGTAGGGCAAACAGTACAAATTTTCTGCCTTGATTTGACATGGAGATCAAATAAGGGTTTTGAAAGTTAGAGCATCTCTATTTGGTGCCCTCACTTGATGTTTTGTTTAGATTATGATGAATAAGGGTTTTGCTTATACAATCTACCAGTTAATCTGTACAAATGAGTCTGCCCTAATATATTGCATGTGAGTGAGTACACTATACCTTAGGTATTCATAATTCTATTTTTTAAATTTTAAAAATAAAATAAAATCTATGTACATTCCATAGGTAATGTTTTTAAGAGAAGTTCATTCCAGATTTGTCTGTCATGTGTATTACGGCCAATGATTAATATCCATGATCTTAGATTGCATGTTAAATTATCTTTTAATGCCCACTTAAGAGGATTGGGTGCTGTCTTGTAATTTTTAACCAGCCTGCTACATTCTAGAAACTTTATTCCAGTCCAAAGCATACTTATTATGCACACAAAGCAGTGTTAACCAATTTATTGATGTTAAAGACCAGACTTTGTTGCTGACCATCTAATATACATGTATGTATATGTATACAATACATATAAATATAAACTATTGTTAGCCTGTTGCCCTAGGGCCTAGAGAATGAAATAGTGTCAGTCTTTGTTCTTCAGACTGCATAGCCTCAGAGGACATTTTTTTTGTTAGTCCAAATCCCTAAAGTTAATTAAAAAGTAAATTTGAAATCATGAATACATGTCAGTGCTTGTCAAAGAATTGCCCTAGTTGAGATTACCATATGTAGATAATGTATCCAAGCTTCAGCCCATGAATGAATGAACTGGCACATTAATTTTTTCCCCCAAATGCCACAGTTGGGCTTCTTTCAGAATGTATGTAATGCTAACTTTTCATAGGTTTGAAAGAACCTCATCCAGCAATATTTTGAGTATAGCAAGTGCATGGGATTGTCAGTAAAGTCATTTAAATAATAGTAGTACAGGGAATAGTTTTTAAATGGTTATCGTAAAACATATGATTAGCGTCTCTAGACTGTTTACTTTTCTTCCATGAACATTCTTTCAAGTGTGCAAACAGCCAAGTGTATGGTTAAAGCCCAGTTAATCTGTTTGGGTTTGTAATGGAGAAAAAGCTGTGTCTGCCTGAAAATGTCACATAGGGAGATTTAATTTAGAGATTAAAAACTCTCTGAGTGACTTTAAAAAATAGTTTTTTCAGCTGTGAATACTGTGCCTCTTCATTTTAATACTCCCTATTCTTAATTCTGCTCTTGCTATATTGTTAGGAGTTTGGTTCTCTTGATGACCCAACCCTGTAATACTTACTTGAGAAAGTTCAAGGACGTAAATATTACAAGCTATAATCTGTAAACTGGAATCATATGGAGTCTCAGAGACCTTATTGGAACAACTCCAAATGAAATGTTTCAAGGACTTCATCATTTCTGTCTCTCTGACAATACAGTATACTCTCTTCCCAAAGGACAGCAGAGAGGAATTGTAAATACCAAAATAACACTGTTTTGTTCCATGTTAATAGTTTAATAATAATCACTCAATTAACATTTAATAATATGGATTTTATTATATCTATATCCTACTTTTCTTTCGTCATGGAACTCTAGGTGGCCTACATGGTGTAGTGGTTAGAGTGTCAGACTAGGATCTAAAGAGCCTGGTTCAAATCCCTACTATGCCATGGAAGCTTGCTGGCTGACCTTGGTAGGGTTGCCAGTTCAGATTGACCCAGTGGCAGGGGAGGGACTTCCAGGAGTGCAGTGAGTGTGTGAGTGACATAATGGCATCACATGGAAGTTAGCAATGTTGTATGGTGACACTCTGGTATTTTAGACAAAACTATGGTTACCATAGATTTTTACCCAAAATACCAGTGTCACCATGCTGCGTTGCTAATATGATGACATCACTTCTTTGTGACATTATGTCACATTTGGGGGTGGGATTTCCTGGTGGTGGGGAAGAGGCCCAAAAAATCAGGGGATCCCCTGCTGCCAACTGAGGAATGGCATCCCTAGACCTTGGGCCAGTCACACACTGTCAGCCTAACCTACCTCACCAAGTTGTGAGGATAAAACAGAGGACAGCAGAATTATTGACACCAATTCAAATTCCAATTGGGAAGAAAGGTGGGGTATAATGAGGTAAATAAATAATCTCACTGGATGGTCTTGAGCAGTGTTCCCTCTAAGATGAGTTAGTGTGAGCTAGCTCACAGTTTTTTAGCCTCCAGATCACACATTTTAAGAACATAAGAACATAAGAGATGCCAATGTTGGATCAGGCCAAAGGCCCATCCAGTCCAACACTCTGTATCACATAGTGGCCAGAAATACCAGTGCCATCAGGAGGTCCACCAGTGGGGCCAGGACATTAGAAGCCCTCCCACTGTTGGCCCCCCCAAGCACCAAGATGACAGAGCATCACTTGCCCCAGAGTCCCTATCTATACCTTGTGGCTAATAGCCACTGATGGACCTCTGCTCCATATGCTTATCTAATTCCCTTTTGAAGCCGTCCATGCTTGTAGCCACCACCACTTCCTGTGGCAGTGAATTCCAAGTGTTAATCACTCTTTGGGTGAAGAAGTACTTCCTTTTATCCGTTCTAACCCGACCGCTCAGCAATTTCATGGAGTGCCCACGAGTTCTTGTATTGTGAGAGAGGGAGAAAAGTACCTCTTTCTCTACCTGCTCTTTCCCATGCATAATCTTATAAACCTTATAATCTTATAAACTTACAAGAATTATTGTAAGCTGCTTTGGCTCTCCATTGTAGAGGAAATCTGGGTATAACTATTGCAACAAACAAATAAATATAGTACATAGGTCTTCTTCGAGGTGACTCATCCAGGTACTGATCAGAACACTAGTCACTTATCTTCAGCAAAGGTGCTGCATTATGCACCTTTCAACCATAACTATTCAAGGCATACTAAAGCTCATAAAATCAAGAACCAGCATATATGGCATTTTTTATAAGACAACAGATAAAAAATTAAAGTCACAAAGCCCATAAGAGCAACCAAAACCAGTTCCAGATACAAGTACTATTACTCAATAAATCAGGAAGACATATTTAAGAGAGAAGTATATGTTTTAGTGTACACCAAAAATGGTAGTTTGAATGTGATGAACAGACATTTGAAAATGCATGTACACTAATTAGAAAGCTTGGAGACACTGCATTGAATGTATGCTCAATAGCAGGCCCAGATTTGTTGTTGTGTACTATGCAAAACAGTTCACGGTGACAAGTCTAAGACTGAGAGGTATTAATATGTTAATATATTCAGATGTCTCACATTACTATCACCTGTTTAATCTAGTATCATATGTCATCTTGATTAAGTGATGGACTGCAGAATTACACACACTCTCACACAGTCCTTTCACTACCGTATACAAATTCATACTTCCCCAAATGACAACCATTTTCTAAGCATTTATGTAGGCAAAGGATGAGATGGTTAGACAGTGTCATAGATGCAACAAACATGAAATTGAGCCAACTTCAGAGGACGGCGGAAGACAGGAAGGCCTGGCGTGATCTGGTCCATGGGGTCACAAAGGGGGACTCGACTGTGCGACTGAACAACAACAATAACAAAAAGTTAATGATAGCCAGATGACCCACACTAACTAGTATCTCAACCTGCTTGGTATTACCCACAGTTAAATTTGATGCAAATATAGCATTAACCATGCTTGAAGTGAAGGACAAGTGTACTCCAATGTCTCTTTCACACTTTTACGTATGTTTTAGGTGGGAAGCATTATATTTGCCCAGATCTTTGTCTCTGAGGATGCCTTTTCTCTTCTTAATTTGTGAAGGTTGATAATACTTCATATTACATAAATGAGTCACTCCACCCTGAAGTATGTTTCTCAATCTTTATTTTGATCCAGTGTCTCAGAATTCCATTTTTTGCTCCATCAAGATATTAGTGTATAAATAAACAAGAATTAAAAATGAAAGTAATGGGAGAAAATGTATCATATAAGTTTAATAACCTTCCAGAAACAGGATGACACCCAGCCATACAATGATTTATTTTAGAAAGTACTTTCCAGTGACCTAAAGGTGGCCATACAAGGAAACGACACATATGATGGCACAAAATGAAACTGGGGTGGGAGCCTCCATACTTTTCAGGCTTTGGGAGAGCAAAGTCCTGCATGGTCTTTGACCGTGGGGAAGAAAACAGATTAAATGTCCTACTTCTATAGCTGAGTCTCATTTGCTTACTGTACTAAGTAGGCTGCTCTGGGGAGGACAAGCGAAGGCAGTAGGCCATGTCTCGAGAATAGGAAGTAGAGTTATGAAAGGCAGAAAGAGAGTTCCTCATCGTGTAGAGATTTGTATGACTTTCCTGCCTCCTTTCTTTTCCCCTTTTTTCTGTCCTGACCCATTTTTTATGATGCTTCCTTTTCCTCTTCCCTAGGAATTCCACGGCCTCCGCACCCTCCAGATATATCTCCTTATTATCCGCTATCACCGGGCACTGTAGGGCAAATCCCCCATCCGCTAGGATGGTTAGTACCACAGTAAGGAGTTCCATTTTTTTAATTTCCTTTTTTATTTTTATTTTTTGTATAAGCATGCATATGTGGAGTGAGCCATACTTATTTCCTTTGGCCGAAATATGTATGTTGAGATGAGCATGAAGGAAACTTGCCAGTTTATGATGTAGGCAAATCAATAATTTTTAAGATTTAATGAACAAAGTGATGGGTGTCAAATAAGTAGAGAACATGTGTGCATCATTTAATGTGTCCTAATTCCTGATGACCCATGACCCATCAATGTCAAATATTAATGTAAGAAGTTAAGTGGCAGGTATTAATACAGAGAGAGAGTTGAGGAATGAAATGTCCTGGATTATCTCATTTTGGACAAAATTCTTTTTTGTTTAGTAAATTGGCTCCTGGATTACTAGCTTCAGAAACATTGTTTGTAGATTATTTGTTACACTGCTATTATCAATATAATTGTATTTGCATGTACCTGTTAGAATTTGTTGTTTCCAGTGTTTGGAATAATACAGAAACAATTTCTATTTAGAATATGTTTTCCTACCTCTGGATAGGACTCACTGCTGGGGAAGCATTTATTTGTGATGTCCACTTACCTCTTTATCAATGGATATGTCATAGTACTGGCCTTATTATTCTAATTTTGAGACTCAAGTGATCTCTGATAGCTCTTTCAGTGTGGCAGTCCCCAAAATTTATTGATTTGGAAATGGGAAAGTTGTTTACTCTGGAGAAAAGGGCCTATGTTATACTATTATGCTATACACAGCTCCACTAAATCTGCAGAATTAGAACCTGTCACTTTTTTTTACCATCCCTTCTGGATGCAGTTGTTTGCTTTTATAGGTAGTATACTGCTGAAGCCTTCTTCCCAGTCCTGCAGTTCATTATTTATTTTGTTGGGAAACAGGGTGGTCTTCATGAAAAGAATCCCTACATTTGTGGGAAAGCAAATCCTACTTATGCTACAAAATGTTCACACTTGGAAGGAAAGAGAATAATAAGTGGAAACTGCCATCAGTACCCTCAGGGTGACCTCTTCATGATACCAGCCAATCAAATTTTGGTCACTTTTTAAAAAAGTGTCTTGGCATTTGTTTGGCTGCTTCCATGTTCTTATATACATATAGGTGGATTCAACAGAATTCAGAAAAAACTGATTGATAGTTCAGAAACATTTTAAATTCATAGATACCTACTTTCCATCCTGCTGTAGATATGTACACATTTATTGAATTTTAATGCAACTGTGGTGTATGTCAAAGAGCATATAATCCTTTCAAAGATATGACAGATATTTTTATTATTTTAGTATTTATTTATATTTTTATTATCAACATTAAACATGGCACCCACCCATAGTCAAGTTGATTTGAGTATTTTTAAAAAGCCTAATCAAATAGTAACCATTCAGTTGATACATTTGAAGGACAGATGAAAAGGACTAGTGAGCATAGACAAACCTCAATCAGAAAAAGTTACGTAGCTTTCATGAGGATGCTGTTTTGCATGTTGCTGTATTTTTTAATTATTGTAATGAGGTATGATTGTCTATTGGTTACCCACAATACTTCTTGGGGACTCTCCCCCGGTAACTCTTGTCAACACTTGTTAATCTGACAAAAGGCTACAAATTAAGCTCTGTTAATTTAATGTTTTCTCACCGAGATCTAAATACCGAAAGAGGCCCAAAGCGCAACTGAAGTCCTTTGATTCACTGTACTTTATTTTGGTATAAATTTACATTCATTATTGTTTTCCTTTGGATGTGTAGCCCTCAATTAGTGTGATGGCTCCATTAAAGCAAGCAAGACTTCGCCTTTAATTATTACAACAAAACACCTAGTTTCAGCTTGGGGAGAGGGTCTCTATTGACATAAGCAGAGGTTATAAAATTTAATTAGCCATTCGTATCAGATTTATGGCATTCAAATTGTTCTGTGTTTCTTTCCTTTGATCCATGCTGTACAATCCCCAAGATTTTTGTTCTGATCAAATGAGAATAAAGCTTACTGTGCAGAGAGAAGTTTTTTAAAAATGCAAAAAATGCATACCCCTGTTTTGTTTTGTTTGTACTCATTTCCTCCCCTGTCTTTTTAGGCAAGGTCAACCAGTCTATCCAATCACAACAGGGGGGTTTCGGCATCCCTACCCAACCGCTCTGACTGTCAATGCATCTATGTCAAGGTGAGTTCTAAGTACCTAGGTCCAGACATGAGGCAACTGCTTATTCCCTTTATCTGTGTAGAACAGGAAACTCAGCTAGAAAAATACTTTTGTTTAGTTAAGTCAGGATATTCCTTTTACATTTGGGCGGGGGGAAACCCTCTCCCTGACCATCATATCAAGTTGTAAGTAACATATTGAAACCATGAGTGTAGGGATTGCATTTATATAATTTACTAACTTACTAAACAGTGAGGAAAACTCACATAATGAACCCATGATGCTGAGAAACTGGAAAACTATGTTTTTGGAAAAAAATTGGTTCCTCTGCAGTTATTTAAAACAGAGTTCTCTCCAAAGAGAGTGTAGATTTTTTTTAATACAATCAGACCTTGAAGAGAAACTACTGCTTTTCCCCCTCATTCCCAAGCTCTAATCATTTCTAGTTGACATAAAAAGTTCTAACTGATTCTCTGAAGGTTTAGAAGTAGATCTTGCTTCCCTACCCCAACCTCCAATTAATTCCAGCTAATTTTCCAAGGGCTGGTAGTTTTATTTACAAACTGCTTGGCAGCACTATGTTTAAGTAATCACTAATTGCTCCTAATGATAGTTTTATTCTCTCTTCATCTGATTTTCAGGCTAGTTAATTAAATCGGTGGAGGTTTAGACTTTCCTGATGGGCTGAAACAGCTAATCCATTTTGATGATGGCACATAATTAAATTAGCATGCATTACATAGCAAGGTTCCACATCCCCCTCATCCCTCCCTCCTTGTACCTTTCCAGTCCCAGCAGTTAATACATGAAGGTTAGTATGCGAAGCAAAACAGGAAACTTCTTGTCTAATAGAAACCACCACTGAAATGCAAAAATGAGATAATAAAAGAAACAAACTTTACATATATAAGATTAATTAATACCCTGGAATCGCTCACATAAAACTAAAACCTTCTGTCAGTGTTGCACAGAGACAGAAAAGATAGGCAGGAGAAGAGGAGCCACCTCATCTTAATTATCATTAGTAAGGCTATTCTGTTTATTTGTTGGATTTTTTTGCATGAGGGAGAACAGGGAGAGACAACAAGGATATGAGTTATATTCCTCAGATATGCCTTTATGAAAGGTATCTAGTTTAAAAGGGTATACAGCAAATTAAATACATTATTGTGGTAATGGGACGACAGAAGTACAAGTCTATTATACTTAGAGCAGTTACAGGAATTGTATGCTCCTTGCCCTGTTCCAGCACATCCTTTGATATTCATTCTATTCAGCAGCAGGGCCAGGACTTCTCAGAATTAAGTGATGGGTCATTATACTTTAAACACCATGGAGAAGCCTAGATTGGCAATTAAACAGCACTTGCTGACACTCGCTTGTGCCACTCTGTGACCCCCTTTAGATTGAGATGTTGGAGCTCGGGGCCCTCAGCCTGCTAAATTGGTAGCAGGCACTTCTCCTGACGAGGGCTGGCTCTGAAATCTGCCGGCTTCAAAGGGAGCAAGATCATGTATAAACCATAATGTGGGTGCACCATGGCTCAAAAAAAAAAATAAGGCAGGGAATAGATGAAATGTTACAAGTGCAAGGGGAAAATGAGAGAATAATGACAAATCTAATGCAACTCAAAGCAGAATTGTTGCACGAAAAAATGCATCCCACTGCTTGTGCATAAAATCAAGGCAGGCAGATGACATCCAGTTAACAGAAACATGTCAACAGTGAAGTAAAGTGAGAGTGAGTAAGAGAGAAGCCCCTGAGACAGCCAGGAACAAAAATTAGTTGTCCTTAACAAGTTACAGCTCATCATTATATTCTGGCTTGGAGCCATAAAAGCAGACAGGGGTATATAATGAGCTGCTTAGAATTTTTAGGGTGTTTACTGTAATTCTTAGAATACTTGTCTACAGAAAGAAATTTCTTAGAGCAGGGAGGGGGATCCTTTATAAAACATGGCATCTGTACAAATACACGAACACAGAGACTCAGACATGTGGCATTTACAGAAATTATGGACATGTATGAAAGCATGCCCCCTTCCCCTACCACCCATACAGAATACACTTGATAGACAAATATGTTTTTGTACAAATGCATTAAAACATTTTTGCTGATATGCATTATCTTATGGCTAAACACTCTTGGCACTATATATCACACCATTGCCCTCAAAGCTTTAGTCTTGTCCCTCTTTGACATGCAGAAGTGCAGGGTATGTGGCTTTTATGATCATGGTCTGTTGTGTTGAATAATATAAGAGGAATGATTAATATTTAATATATGTTTAACTATGTGCCTTCTCATCTGAATGTAAATACTAAGGTAGATTGTAGGTTTTCATACTACGCACACTTGCACCATTCCATCAAGGCCTAGTTCATCTTTTCTTTAAAAACTGTCTTTTGGGATCATCCCATTTTGACAACCCAGTGCTGTTGATACTGATATGCCCACTGCAGTTGTGCCTTGCAATACTCCAAAAGCTCAGCAAACTTAATAACATTTTTAAAGTGACTGAATATAAACTAATCCCAGAAGAGCAGCAATGTTACAGCAAAAAAACAAATAATAGACCTGTAGGTACCTGTTAAAGCCAAATGCATTTGATATTTTATAAGGAAGAGCACACCCTCCAAAAATGAAAAATAAATATTATTTACCTTCATTCCTTTATGCCTTGGCTATGCCCCTGTTTTACCTTCCCCCAACTTGCGGGCATTTTGCAAAACCTGGATTTCAGTTAAAATGTTTTCGGTCATTTTTTATATTCTAATTTTGCTTATGTTCTGAACATTTCACAGTAAAGTGTTTTTGTTGAACAGATTACAAAACAACACCAAAAATCCATCTCTGCTAAAAAAAAAAAATTTAGGTTTCATATGATTTTTGTAAAGTGAGAACAACTGATTTTTCCATGTAGAAAAAGGTAGTTTCACATAAACAGCCATGATGGTGAAGTCACCTGATGATGAGTGCGTCACAGAACCTCTTGAGACAGTATTTACACCTGGTTTCTCATTTACAAATACACAGCTTAGTTCCATAAAACTCAATAAAGACCATTGAAAGTATGCCCTGTTCCACACAACTGTCTCCCTTAAATAGTATATGTTTATCCTAGAATCTGTTTATTGGGCACATTAACATATTTATTTATTTATTTTACTTTTATCCTGCCCTCCCTGCCAAGGCAGGCTCAGGGCGGCTCCCATAAAACTAATAAAACAATATACATCTTATAACAATATACATCTTATAGCAAAGCATTCCAAAATGGGATCTAGGATGTGGCTTTTAAGATGTGCCTCTTATGAGAGAGGCTTCATCAGTTGGGGTGAGATGGGATGAAGAAAAGGCTTTACCATATGGGCCCAGTCCTTATTTGCTGTAGCCCTCTCACCTTTGCTTTTTGCTCCCTCTCCTGTTCCCACAATCCTTTGTGTGTTCTCTCTATCTGAAGGACAAGGGCCCATTCAACTATAATTTTTCCGTTTCTTATGCTGAGTGGTATTTTTTAAATGTTGTGTGTGTGTGTGTGTATAAAATAAATTATTTGAATTGTTTTACTTTGTAGCAAGTATGCTTATTGAGTCTTGTTTTGTAAATAGGGCTGCCAGGTCCCTCAGGAGGGCAGAGGTTCCCCCGCTAAAAGGGTCCCCAATCTGCCGGTCCGGAAAAGGCCGGCGGGGGGAACCCTGTCCCCAAAGTGCCCGGTTCGGGCCGACGTGCCTGGTGCGATGATGTCACCCAGAGGTGACATCATCATGGTGGGCATGTCGCCGGCTGATGCTGTAGCAATCAGCCTGAAAACTCTATGGTACCATAGAGTTTCCAGGCTGATTTCTAGAGCGTCAGCCAGTGACATGGCCAACATGATGATGTCACTTCTGTGTGACGTCATCGCAGCGCGGGCCCGCAACTCTCCCCCACTATTAGCAGTAAGTGACTTGGCAACTCTATTTGTAAAAGATGACTAGATGGATGTTCATATGGCAGTACCCATTAGGACTGGTCATAACTATCATCTCTCCCATTTGTTTTCTGAGTAAAAATTCTCCGATTTTCCCTTTTCTACTTTACAAAGTCCCAACCTGTTCATATCCTTAGTATCTGTTTAACATGGGTTACATCAAAACAGACATGCAAGGTATTTGGGAATATTACATAAAATACAGAACAGGTCCCATCTCTGCACGATACTTCTGTAAGATATTTTTCATGGTCCTAAGCAGCTTTTAAACATAATGCCTAAAATTTGATTGTCTGCACATTTATTTCATGGCAAAGGCTAAACAAAACTTCTTTATGATACATTTAATGAAAACATAGTTAATAAGATGCATAATGGCACATAAATTGTGGTGCAGTTAATATTTTATTACACTGCTAATACCCGTCAACAAAATAGCATCCTTTAATCCTCAGTCTGGTTTGAGATTCAAATCTCCAGAGGCTGGTTCCCCCATACTATGCTATGACTAGGATCTGTGTGCTTTACAGGGAGGTAGATGAACAGAAATTCCATCGCTTTTCCATGCACTAAATTTGTTACTGTGTTAAGAGATGTTAAAAATCCTGAAGTCTTCTGTCAATAGTTATAATAATTGGGTTGTTGTTGTTGTTCAGTCGCACAGTCGAGTCCGACTCTTCGTTGGGTACTTGGCTGTAATTATGTTTTTTAAAAAATATATATGCCTATTATTAATTATTGCTGCTAGTTCTCATGTGCTTGTCTAAATTTTGTGTGCTTTTTGTATGCCTTTTTGTTATATGTGTGTACACACCCCTCCCCATTCATTCATTTTTATTCTGACGATTTACACAGCTTTCTCTCCTCTAGGTTCCCTCCACATATGGTCCCTCCACATCATAGTTTACATACAACTGGGATCCCTCATCCAGCCATAGTCACCCCAACAGTCAAACAAGAATCTTCCCAGAATGACGTTGGCTCACTCCACAGCTCGTAAGTTCTTTATACTCCTATGTCTTTGGACGCATTTTGGTTTAATCTTTGGTTAGCAGTTTGGTCTTTGCTTTGTCTCGTTATTGTAGAAGTTGTGATGGGTGCTTTGGATTTGGATACACAAGCAGCCACTAAACTACATCAGCCTCTGGATTGTTCAGGATGAATCAATACCAGATGACACCCAAAAAGGCCACATTAAAATCAGTCTCCCTGGACCCACTTTTCCTTCATCTTGAGATTAAAGTGTCTATAAAAATAGGTTTGCTGACTGGCTTATTTAGTTATGTGGAATCTGCAGCAAACATAAATAAACAGTTAATGACACAAGGTTGTGAACAAAGGTTACTGGCTGGAGCACTCTGGAATTCCTTATCTTTATATTCAAGGCTATCAGTAATGCTGTTTTTCTAATGCTACCACCAGCTTTAATAATTGATTTGACATGCCGGAGATGTAACAAGCAGGAACCCTCAATTGGTTAATAGTATGGAGCACAGAGCTCTGTGTTGCATTGTGGTCTGCCTGTCCCAGTTCTCAGCCATGATAGCAAGAATGAGAAAGGGTGTTTTTTCCTTCAGTGATTGTTTTCATCTGTATGCCAAATTAAAATCAAAATGTTGTCTATACTATCTTTTTTAATGTTCTTATTTATCAGGGTCCTTAAAGCAGATATTCAGAATATATAGATATATTTTTCTGATATTCTGTAATGTGCTAGGAGTCAAAACAATATTGTACTTTTCCTCTTGTAATTTTGTGTAGCACCCTACACAAAAGTTTAATAGTATCATACACAGAAGTTTAATAACATCATATAGATATGTTAAGTAGACGTCCCTTTTGTACGTATGTACAAAGATGATGATAATACCCTTGACAGCTAGTCACCAGATTTTCAAATGTAAGGTAAAGAAATGTGATCCCATTAAAGTGATTTGAATTGTTCTAGAAGGAAAGAAACATAAGAACATAGAGGAATTTAGAATGCATTATCTTTACAAGTTCCATCTTTTTGAACCACCCAGAAAACATCAAGACTCCAAAAAAGAAGAGGAGAAAAAGAAGCCACACATAAAGAAACCTCTCAATGCATTTATGTTGTATATGAAGGAAATGAGAGCAAAAGTTGTAGCAGAATGCACATTGAAAGAGAGCGCAGCCATCAATCAAATCCTTGGTCGGAGGGTAGGTAACTCATCAGGTCTGTATCTGTGCATGTCAGGGATGCGGTGTGCATGTTTACTAAGGGTGGCAACGTGAGTACTACATGCACCTAAAATGACAGGATAAGGACTGTATAGTTACATTGTGTGATTAAGGGCCATGTGTCTGCTCAGTGGAACATCCCAAATTCTCTCCTGGTTCTGCATCCTAAAGTGCTTTGGAAACACTTCTGCCTTACAACAGGCTTACACCACTTCTGTGACCCTGCAAGCCAATTACAGTCCAGTATGCTGTGGTTTGCCAAGTGCTTGATAATCAGCTTGTGTTTACAGTCTGTGACAGCAGCAAAACTATGGTCTTGGGAGCATAATTGCTAAGATATAGAATATAAATATCTTAAATACTGAACCTCTAACAAGCCACAGTCTGAAGCTGCTGGGTTGCATTTGACTTGGTAAGTTTGTGCAGACTTACATTAAAGGCAATAAAATTTGTGCTGATGGAATACCAGTGTGTCAAGTGAGGAATGAGGACTAAGTCTAAAAGGTTTTTAAAGGGTAGCCTCTTTTATGGACATTTCTTGTACATGTCATTCAAAAGAATGGTGATTAAGATGGAACAGTATTTGGACGATTATACCTTTCACTTTTCTAAAGGGAAAAGACTACTCACTGTAAAAGGTTACTTGAGCTGCCCTGAGTTAAATAAAGCTATGAAATAAATCTCATGTTGTATTACTAATTTGCTTGAGTTCTCTGAGCCTTGGCAGTAAATACCTATCATGTACATTCTGTGGTACTAATCTAGTGTTGTGTTTGTGGTTTTGTTTGCTTTCTTTCTTCCTCAGTGGCATGCATTATCAAGAGAAGAACAAGCAAAATATTATGAACTAGCCAGAAAGGAACGACAGCTCCACATGCAACTTTACCCCGGCTGGTCCGCACGGGATAACTATGTAGGTGGCTATGTAGGTGGAATTTTTTTCAGTAGTAGAGCTTGTAGACAAGTACTGCTGTTATCTGCTGAAGTACGCCCACACACGGAAGACAAGCACTACTAATCCGGTAATTCTAGCGGATGTTTTGGTTTTGTCGCCAACCCAATTGGATACAATTAGCACCCCCTCTACTGGAGGAGGGTCCCTTTCTTGGGATAGTAAAGGTCAACTAAAAGACTACAACTGAGGTGTGTCAGTAGAGCTCTGTGGGAACAACATTCTTGCAGTAAGTCTCCCTGCTTTTGTGCAGTTTACAAAACAAAGTTAAAAAAGAGCTCCTTCTCTATTCTCACCCTCATTTCCTTCCCCGACCCCCCAAATTAGTGCCTTGTTGCATACCTGTGTGAGAGTATCGTGGAAAGTGGAAGAATGGCTTACCCTAGCTTCAGAGAAGGACTGGCAAAGACTTTTTGGAAGTCTTGCTCTCAAGTGGGGCTAAATAAATTATTCCACCCTCTACTTTTAAAAATATTTTACTTTATTGCACTATTGTCTGTCATGGTTGTTTTTTGAACAATGCTTTTATTGATGGTGTCTTTGCCAACTACCATGGAACCGTTGTTAGTGATCACATCATGATATGTTCTCATTTGCTGTGTTGTTCCCTTTCAGAGGGCATAAAGATGACTGCTTAGCTTCAAGGGTCAATATCCTGATCCATCACATGAGATACATATAAACAGCCTTCCACATGTGTTGCCAGTGTAGATGGATAGCTGATGAGTGTTGTGTATTGCCACGTTTGTTTGAGCCATATTGAAGTGGCTGGGTGCTGTGAAGGGATGCAGATCAGCATCCTCCAGTTGTTACTCAGCGCCTATGACCATCACAGAATGGAGAGCCAAACCCTGTAGGTACTAAGTAATTGTAAAGCCTACATTAAAGGAATAACTACATCTTACTTAGAAGTATGGCCAAAAGTAACGATTTTGTGCTGCGTATAAATTGGTAAGGATCCATGAAATGTCCCAAATGCAATTAATCTCTGAAAGGCTCTGATAATCAAGCAGAGCCAGAGCCAGATTTATATGCATACTAAGTACGTTACAGTTTATGGGCCTTTGATTCTGTAAGTTATAGTTTAAGGGCCTCTAAATATTTTTTTAAGAATAGTGAGTTTCCGTTTCAAAATAACATACATTTTTCGTAATGTTGTGGGGGCCTTTTAAATTTGATATCGTTTAGGGCCTCCACATGTCTTAGTCCAGCCCTGAGCTGAACCCAGATGCTTTCACTGTAGCAATGCTTAGTGGAAGATTACACAGTAAAAGGTTTTTTGGGGATATCTGTCAGAGGCAATTGTAAGCTGCTTAACAGCATTAAATTCAAAATTACAATAAGAATTGCCTACAATCTGGCATAAGTGCTATGAACAATAAAAATGAAAATCACCTGTAAAGAAGACCAAAGCAGCCCAGGTGTATCTGGTTTTAGCAAATGCCTTCTTAAACCAAAATGGTTTGCAAACCTTCAGGTAAGTTAGGGGACAGAAAATTTGATGGCTGTCTTGTAGGGTTACCAGGCAGTGGTTGGCAACCAGAGGAAGGGTTATGGGGGGCAGTATCCCAGAAGAAAAATTGAAAAGAAAAATAACGTCTTATCTACTTATAGGAAGTTCTGACCATAGAGTTCCTGCTAATTTCTATAGTTACCTGGAAGTGATGATACCTGTAGGAATTGCCAGAAACTCTATGGTAAGAGTACCATGCTAAAAAGTTCTATAGTCAGGACTTCCTGTAAGTAGACAAGGCCTTATTTTTCTTTTCAATTTTTCTTCCCAGGATGAGCACACACTCCTTAGGTTGCTGGCTCTGGGTTGGGAAATACCTGGAGATTTGGGGGGTAGAACCTGAGGAAGGCAGGGTTTGGGGAAGGGAGAGATTTCAATGGGGTATAAAGCCATAGAGTTCACCTTCCAAAGCAGCCCTTTTCTCCAGGTGAACTGATCTCTGTTGCCTGGACATCAGTTGTATTAGATCTCCAGACACCACCTGGAGGTTGGCAAGCCTACCCCCAATTTGGCCCCAGTTTTTGTCCATTGATCAGGTGAGCACTGGTGGCTAAGGGCTGCAGTTACCTGACAGTCTCCCACCATAAGAAGGCAAATGGGAACCCTAGTGTTCAGGGTAGCTGGTTCTATAAACAACAGCCATAGCTGACAAAGGTCTACCTGCTTTGCTTCCCCTAGGATGATCTGTTGTAAAGGAGGCCCAGTACCTTTTAAGACTTGTGTTATGCAAAAAATTTAAACAGGTACTATATTATTAATCCCTGCATGACAAGCTGTGCTTCTGAAATTTACTCTTTTTATAATTGTAAAAGGTACAAAGATCCTGGCCTCCTGTCATTGTTGCCACTGATAGTTAAGTGTCGTATATGCACCATTCTTAACTGGTTGGGCCATATTCTCCCCCCCCCCTTTAATATACTGTTAAAATACTGAGGTGTTTGTTGTTGGTGTTTTCCAAAAGTGTAAATTTATAGTTCAGAAAATTAGGCTGTGTTCTACCATAGCTGTAATCAGTTTGCCCGTGTAAGCAGATCCCTCTATGCAGAGAGGCACAAGGATGTGTTAGCAAGTAACATTTAAAGAATTCCATTTGCTGAATGAACCTTAGGGTTTTCCAGGTGAGGCTGACAAGTGATTGGGGGACTTACCAGGAGCCTCCAGGAAAGGGGAGAGAGGGTTTGGGAGAGGGAACTCTGAAGTTAGTTTCACATTCCTTTTAAATGCTTTCCCTCCATTGGAAATAATGGAGGATGGGGGCACCTTCTTTTGGGGCTCATAGAAATGGACCCCCTGGGCCAATCTTTTTGAAACTTGGGGGGGGGGGGAGTTTAGGAGAGCAGCTATGCTGAAAATTTGGTGCCTCTGCCTCAAAAAACAGCATCCCCAAGCCCCAGATACCCACAGATTGATTCTCCATTATACCCTGTGGGGACCGGTTTCCATAGGGTATAATGGAGCACCCAGTAGCTATCCCCCCCCCCCGCTTTCTGATAGCCCTGAACTGGGGGGTCCCTTGCCCCTAGCTGGGGATTGGCAACCCTAATGAACCTTGAAGATGAAATATTTATTTGAAAACATGTAGTATCAAAATCTGTACACAACCCTTTTATTCGAAGTTGTCTTCTTTAAAATTGATTCCTTTGACTTCCAATTTCTTCCTGTGCTTTTGAACATAAAACAGACGCTTGATAACCTCTTTTGAGGAGAGTGTTTTCCTGACAACCTATGATGTACCTTTTCCCTACTTATTCATCACCGAATGCATTGCCTGTATTTGCTGTTACAAATGGACTACAGTGAGACTATCAGACCACAGGGCCGAGTCATTCTTGGTCCTCTGCAGTATAACTTCCTCTTGGGAGTTCAAGAGGGAGTAGCATTGGGATGTGCCGTAATGCTTGAAAGAGTTTCAGAAAATATTCTCTCTGCCTGAATGACTGTGTCACTGACAGATGGGCATGTATGGTGTCTTAAATGTTTAGGACCTTTACATTTGTCCTCAGCATGTGAGCACTGAAAATCTCTTTCTTCTCATGTTAAAAAGGACAGGATGAGAAAGCTGATGCATCCCCAGCAGCTTGAGGCTCTATCCCCCCCTGACCTTCAGGGGGAACCTCACTTCAGTAGGAAAGCTCAATAGCTTTGGATCACACAAGCACATGTACAAGGGTTTTACTTTTCTCTCCACATCTCTCAAAATTCTTGAAGTTTATCCCTTCTTGTGGGCTTTATTTGGACAACAGACTTTCCCAGGATTTAAAAAAGCAAGTGTTTGTGTATATATGTGTGGTGGGATTTTGTAAGGGGATCTCCCATCGGGTTCTTGTTATCTATCACACACAGAATGGCATCTGCAATCCCAAATCAGGCACTGAAGGGTTTTTTGGATATTTTATTTTTTTTCCAGAAATTCAAGCAAAATATCTAAAATTAGATTTTTTAAAAAAATCCAAATCAACGAAAATATCTCAGTTCACACATGACTGTGGCCCTAACAAGGTTAGCTTAGGAATATAAGGTGTTGCCACTAGGCTTACAGCTAGCCCATGATCATGTGGGGGCATCATTTGTATGAGCTTGTACATCCACATGGATAATAGGAACAAATTGTTGTAATCCTAGTCCTATTACATTGCTTATTAGGTGTCTCGTTCTTTTAGTTGCATTGATTTGCACTGTATAATCAGCCTTGTGTCTCAGCGACAAAGGCAGACAATAAATAAAGTAAATGAGTAAATAAACAAAAATTCCCAAGCCTAGAAAATGGGCTGCTGGAGACAAAATTCTAGCCACATTCTGACTCCACTAAGGCCAGATATGTATTTGTATACACACACGCACACACATACATCTACATTTTCCCTTTACCCCATCCTGATCATAGTGGACATGCTGAGTTGAAACCCAAAATGAACTGAAGTTAAAACTGTAGTGGCTCCAAAGGTTTATTGTAAGGCACACATTATTTATTAATTAATGCTAGAGCCCCTGTTACTTGTAGACATTTTGAACACTTAGTAAGGAAGTTCCACTAAATTCTCAGTTACTTTAGTACAGCGCCTCAGTGTATTACATCTTTACAGAAACAAGCACATGCACAGTCCTCCTCCTATTACTAGAAGGTTCTCCTGAACAACAATTTACTTGTCACATACAAAACAGCAGGGTAGCAGTTTACAGCCTGAATGAGCGAGGAGGAACAAGTTCAAAGGCCTTATGCCTTGAGACCTGCAGGAGCTACATCTTCAAAAAGAACATTCACATCTCCTCTTCTTACTGGTACATGCCAGGGAACATAAACATCATAGTGGACATGCTGAGTTGAAACCCAAAATGAAACGTTGTGTGGGAACTAGACCAAGCTACTGAAGAGAAGACATCACAAATCTAGGAAAGCCTTTTCCTTACCTTCCTTAGGGATATAGCCAATCCTTAGTAAACCAACAAGTGTTCTCATTCTAAGGACATCAGTTTACACTTGTATAAATAGAGCACTCGGTGCCTGTTACTTCCTTGTGAATGTACATTAATAGCCTTTTCTTATTTCTTCATATATAGAAGCATACGTGACCACTGGGCTGCTTGTAGTCACTGACTGGACAAAAAGCAATAGTTGTTGTCTTCATGGAGTTAATAAAGAAGAAAAAACTCTTTAATGTTACCAGTAGTTTTATATCCATTTGTTCCATTATCATTTTGTTTTCCTGCCTTGCCACTATTGAATGACCTTTTGTTACGACTGTTTGAAATATCTTATTATACTAATAAATTCTTCCAACTTATTCTGTTAGTTGATATAGCTTACAAAAGGATCCATGTTTAACATAAGTTACCATAAGTCCATTTGTACTTTTATTTATTCATGAGAATTTCTCAGACTTCATAGAGTGACTTTTGCATAGAGCATTTTCTTGCAGACTTGTTTGTGTACTAAAAGCAAAAGCATAATATCTGGGTCAAATTTATAAATAGTGTGGGCCACCATTCTTATTTGATGTTGACTAGTTCTGGCTCCAGAGGGTTGTTGGCTCCCGTTTTTCAGTTTTTTTTAATATTCTAAGCCAGCAACAGTCCATATAGCAATGATCATTATGTCTTTCTTTTTTTTTTTCTTCAGTTGGACTGGATTGGTTTTTTTAACTGAAAAAAGAAACTGTTTACGCCAAGGCACATACTTTCCAGATGTGTCAAAGTAATTCTTCTACCAACTTTTTGTTTTGTACTTTTACTAATTGTCATGAGTATTACACAGGAAAGAGCTATTAACATTTTTTTTTTAGAGCTGCCTGATCAATCCTGGGCTCGTTTTCCTTTTTGTATATGACATCAGTTATGCTATTATGATGGTTGAAATATCCACACAAGTGGAGAACAAGTTATGCAATTTGAGCTGTTGAAAGGACCACATTGCCACACTCAATGAAGCTGGTCCTGGGGGGGGGGGGATGTATACAGTTCTAGGAGGCCTTGCAGAACAGTTCTTTCCCTTTATCCTCTTGAAAGAAGGGTTTGTAGCCATCATTTCATGTATTTCTGTTTCATTCAGGGCAAGAAGAAGAAGAGGAAAAGGGACAAACAGCCAGGAGAGACCAATGGTAAGTAAATATTTTATTTATTCTCTAGTGGAACAATGGAGACCACAAGTTCCTAATACTGGTTATGAAGGAGTCAGTTAGTAATGTGTCAGTCTCCTTAGGAAAGGGCCATTGCTACATCCAGCTTTTGCTTGCTGGATTTTAAATAGATAATTTGCTTATTGTAGGGCTTTTAAAACTAGCAGCCACAATTACATGCATGAGCAGCATATTGCAACAGTAGTCCAAGTTGTGCTTAGCGGCAAAACCATTCACTGCAGAGCCATAGTTTGTTAATGCCTGCACCATTATTACGAAAGAAGTCTGCTGAGTGTGAGTGTGTCTGTGCACGTGTGTGAGTTTGGTATTAATATGGGCTGTGTGTTCTGATGCATGCCTTTACAGTGGTAAATTGAAGCCATTTTTTTTAAATTAAGGAGGTTTGCCATTCTCTAGGAAATTAGAAATACTGCATAGGCAATACCATAGTCGATTTTTTTAAAAAGCCCTGATTACATTTTTCTTTGAAGCCTTTGTATAATTTGTTCTTTTTTTTCAGAACACAGCGAATGTTTCCTAAATCCTTGCCTTTCACTTCCTCCGATTACAGGTGCTAATGTCATTTTCCGCCATTTAAAATAGTTTTGTAAACTGCTTTTAATTTTTTTATCCTGCCATTTTAGATTTTATTAAGATTTAAACACTGACATTAAAAATAATTTTTACCATTCACACGTTTGTAGTGTGTGTGTCTATATATATATATATGTATAGATATATATATTCATGTGGTATGATTGGTAGTTTTTTTGGTTTTGTTTCTAATTTGCTATTCATTACAATTGCTATTAAACAGTAATACAGTAAAAAATAACTCAGTTATACTAACTGTGCAAATTGAATATGCAGTATTTCTTTAAAGAGACTGATGTAAACTGGAAGAAACTTAATATTGAACCTCCTTAATCTAATGGCATTTACGCGGCACCCACTAAAGTCTTCTCATGCCAGCATGCAACCACATCTTTTTTTAAAAAAAATTGTTTTTTCATTTCTGCTCAGACACATCCATTATTTACTTGCTTTACTTGCATACTGCTTGCTTCCATGCTTCTGATCATGTTATTTCTGGCTGGAACTAACATACCCATTTGCTATCTGCTTGTTCTGATCCATTTCTTTTTTTAAAAAGTTTTTAAAAAAAAAAACAAACCAAAAATGTTTATTTCCAAAGCTGCATTATCCCAAACCCCTCCATAAATTTCTTTTATCCCCTTTTTATTTAAACCTAAAGAGGAAAGCATGTTAGTGAACTAATTTCCATACTTAGCTTCTTTTCTTCCTGTGCTTTCCCCCCCTGTAAGAAATATCTAAACAACAGTACAGTGCACAAAGCATTATTCCCACAAACCGATTTGCATTTTGGGGGGGTCTTGAATTGATAGATCGTGTTTCCAGTTCCTCTTAAATCCTTCTCCTCCTCCTTTTTTTTTAAAAAAGGCAGTGCTTATCAAAGGGATACTGCAGCTTTAATTGCAACAGCTAATTTCAAGAATATTATATATGCAATATTCACTATTTTAAAAATAAAACATTCAGAAGTCGATATTTTGCAATTAATAATGAGGTCATTTATTTTTATTTCCTTTTTTATTTTAATTTTTCTTATTTTATCTTTTTCTTTTTTTTCCTCTTTCTCTCTCTCTTTCTCTCTCTTTTTCTGCTCGCTTCTTTCTTGACCTCATTCAGACCTGAGCGCTCCTAAGAAATGCCGAGCGCGCTTTGGCCTTGATCAACAGAATAACTGGTGCGGTCCCTGCAGGTGTGTATAGTCTTCCCCCGACTTGCTATGGCTGGTTTTGCAGCTGGTTTATTTGGTACTTCCCCCTGCCCCTCCCTCTTCTCCTGCTTTGTTGCTTTATAGCTCTGTGTTGTGATCTAGAAGACACAAGGGAGTGGGACGCTGCTGCGAATTATCATCTCTTTCTGTTTAAAGGATTTTGCTCTCCCCCCCCTCATTTGTGTTTCCTCCACCCACCTCACTGCCGCTAGCTGAAAAAATACCCACTGTAAGACAGCATCAGCCTAGGCCTACACACAAAACCCATCCTCCTCTGTGGAAAGTTGCATATCTTTTTACAAACATTGCAAACATCCTTTGATATCACAGTCTAGAGTGCATCAGGGAAGGCATAAAACTAAGTGAAGGGAATGCACAGCAGGCTTAGGCATTGTAGGTTTGAGTCGCCTTGCAGAGGTCCTCTTCTTTCATGCCCTTTGGTGTGAAAGATTGCCAATTGAACTGAGAGAAATGTTAGCTAAAGCTAAGATTTCACGTCCAACTGAGCTCTATCCACCATTGTGTTGTATTTTTTGTGTTTACCTTGTGCTAACAGATGCAAATACTCCAAAGAAGTGTCGGGCATTGTTCGGGCTTGACCGACAGAGTTTATGGTGCAAACCATGCAGGTATACTACCCGTTAGGCCTTTGGGGAACTAAAAGCATTCTGTCATCTTAGTGTTACATGTGTGATTTATTTTTTAATCTTTTACCCCTTCCACTCCCTGCCTTCCCTGCTACTACAACATCGATTGCTAATAAATATTTATCTTGCTAATTCAATGCAAATTTCTTCCCTTTCTTGACCAATAACTGATTTCTTGGTGGTAGCTGGGAATTGGTACACCCCTGAAATGCAGAAGCTAATGTTTCTTGGTCAAACAAGTATGTTGTGGACATTTACACGAGCTTCTGTATGTGTGCCCACAGTCTCCAAAGGATTGCAAAAGATTGTATCACTGCAGCTCCAATAATGTCACTATGACAAATGAGAATTTTACAGGTCATAAGCAAAGTCTGTTAATAAATTCAATAGCATGTTTTAAACTCTACATTAAATATGCTTTTGGCAGCTCATATTATTCCTAAGATTCATATTTGGCATGATTTTTAAGATGCCTGAAGGAAATCTTTGCAGTGCCAGCTTGTTACTGGCCCATTAGGTTCACATCTATTGGACAAGTTATTTTGTTACTCAGATGTTCAAGTTTATAGATAATTGGCACCAAAGGCCAAAACATTTGAAACACTTGTTCTACAACAGGTTTAAGTGAAACCTGTAACTCCATGGATAAATTCTGTAGGCACCTGTTCTTTGGTGAAGGGAAACAAACTATCTCTTGTTGCATTCTTTTTCCCTATATGGTTAAATTTGTTATTTCTCTGTTCTGATCCAAGCAGTCTTTGAATTTGGAATATTATGATGGTAGGTATTTCAGTCCGATGCACACTCTTCTCTGTATGTAGTGCTTCCCTCCTCACCTTTCCCCTCTTATTCACACCCATACCATGTGCTTCATCCCTTTTTTAGAATATAGAGCAGTTATTCATATTCTGCATGTTGACCCTGTTAGTTGTGTGATGCTAAGTTTTAAACATGGATTGAAACTGTACTGTCCGTCTAATTGTTAGATAAAGTTCATGCATCGTCCTTCAAGGGCTGCATTTCCCCTAAACCCTGTGACCTCCCATCTGATGCATGCTCAAGCACTGTGATTTGTGTGGCAGGTGCACCAATGATAGTAGAGGTCAATTCAATACAAATATTAAATTTCTTTTAAAAATCACAATTTCAAGGGGAATAATACTTGGATACCAGCTTAAACAGTGAACAGGAGGGCTTAAGATAACTAATATAGTCTATATCTAATTAGGTATATCTGGGTTTTGACGGTATACGAAACAAGTAGTTGTGTGACCTATAGATAGTCATTTTTATATTTGTCACACTTGCAGGGTTGAACCACTAAAATCAGTTGTACATAGGATTGCGCTGAGTGTGCTGTACAGTTGGAAGAACTAGGCTCTAAATCCCTGGTAACAAGGGGATATTAGGAATAGAGAAAGGGGCTGATGAGCCAGCAAGCTTGGCTTCACCTGTTGACCTGCAGCCACACAAGCTGAGACTTTAGAAGTAACCCTAAGCAGGTCTACTTGAAAGCAAGTCCAGTATTATTCAGTGGTGCTTGATCTTAGGAAACTGTCCTCAGGATTATGGGCAAAGGGCTCCCTTCACCCTTTGTCTTCCAGTATGAACATTATATATCTGTTTTGCTATTCACCCTGGAAAAGTGGGCAAGATTATAAGCTGCTTTATACTCAGTCAGGTCCATCAAGGTCAGTAGTGTCTACGCAGACTGGCAGTGACTCTCCAGGTTCTCAGATAGGGGTAGAGGAACCTAACTGATTCTGGGATGCAGTGGGCTTGGTACCAGGGGGTTAAACCAAAAGCCAGGTGGGAAGCCCTTGGGACCAGTCTCCAGTTGCCTACTGTAAATCATGCTCCTGCCATTTACTATCCATCTACAGAAGCCAACATTCTACTGTTCTAAAGCTTCAAGCTTAAAAGGATCCCAAAGTCTTTATTATCATGGCATTTTGATTTAATTCAGCAAGCATTGTTACAGGCTAGGATCTTTGTTTAAAAGTAACATTCTTCAAACCAGAGCAAGCAAATTAACTTTGCATGATTTTTATCAACTTTATTATAATGGATTTTGATAAACTTTTTTAGGTTGTGGCTTCTCTCCCCCCACCCTTTTCCCCTTTGATTCCAGTGTTTTTCTAAAATTGAATTTTGAGAAATAGATTGTGCAATGCACAGCTCAAAAATGGGAGATAAACTAGCCTCTCCACATACAACATTATGCACGTTGAACTGAATGCACATAGAGGGGGAGTGGACCTGAACATACCTACCCTATGTCCTGCCTGTGTATAATTGCTGGCTCTCTGTTCCCACAGGGTGTATGCTCCCTACTGTGATTAGAAACATTTGAAAAAGCAGCATTCCCAGTCATGGGGAGAAGGCCTATGCTTGTACACTTCCTATGTGCATGGATTCTGCTCACAAGCAAGTAATCATGCTTAGGTGGGACTGGTGTGCATTTCACCCAGCCCCATGGTATTGATTTCAGCGTGCATAATGATGTGTGTAGAGAGCTACACTAAAATAGTGATGGATAGAGCTCACAAACCAGGCACTTGAGCTCTGTCAGAAATAGCATCAGTTTCCAGGAATTGGCTTCAGGGATTAATAAGAAAGAGACAGTGACTCTGATGTAATTATTAATTTTTCCAGTGTATTTAACATTCCAAACATACATTAGTTTCTGTTAGGAATCTATCTTGATCTTTGTTTTAGGAATGCACCTACATAGAGAATCATTATCTAGAACACAGAATTCAGCATTTTAAAGGTCAGAACAATCATTTGACTGCCGTCAAGTAAGAGGCTTTTATAGTTGGTTGTTTAAAGCTATCATCACTGCCATTAAGCAAGGCGCCTTCACATTTGAATTTCAGCTATTTCTCGATATTGCTCCACATTCTAAATAAAAAGGCATTGTTGAGCCAGTTATTCTGATCAAGCTTTACCATCCCTGAAAAATAGATTCATATGCTCAAGGGTTTACCCAAAGCTGTTTTGTATACTTGGCAATTCTGTGGGTCTTCCAATGAAGCACAGAAAACATCCTGAAAACCACAGCTTCCAGTTATTGGGGGGGGGGGGTTAGTAGCTAGTTCTGAAGCTTTGAAGAGAGGTCTAAAAGGAGTAGGCAAAGTCTATATGCCCGGGGGGGGGGTGATGGGATTACCGTTGGTTGATAGAAACTGTACAGTGTTCTGCCCATTCCTCTGACAAGTGGGATAAATTATACATATGAAAATATATGAAAGTTTGCTTTCATTATCTAAACTCTAGACTTAGCGCAGAATCTTTGAAGGTACATTCATCAGTGAGCTTGCCTTTTATTTTTTGTGAGCAGGGAAATATAATTTGATAGAATCATAGATCACGGTTGGTTGGTCGGTTGGTTAGTTAGCTAGTTGGTTGGTTGGTTGGTTGGTTGGTTAGCTAGTTAGTTAGTTGGCTGGTTGGCTGGCTGGTTGGTTGGTTGGTTGGTTGGTTGGTTGGTTGGTTTCCTTCATTTGTACTCCACCTTTCTCCCCAGTGGGGAGCCCAGTGTTCCCTCTAAACTGAGTTAGTGTGAGCTAGCTCAGTTTTTTTTAGACTCTGGCTCACACATTTTTGTGTTAGCTCAGGAAGGATGGCTCCAGAGCAAACTAATTTATGCAGCAGCCAAATCGCTCCCTCACAACTTTAATGCCAGGAGCTCACAAAGTAGAATTTTTGTTCACAAGACTCCACAGCTTAGAGGAAGCATTGGTGGGGGCCTGAAATGGCTTATATCATTCTCCCTTCCTCCATTGTATCCTCACAACAAATCCTGTATGGAAGGTTAGGCTAAGAGTGTATGCCTGGCCCAAGGTCAGTGTATGACTGGCCCAAGCTTTCATGGCAGAGCAGGGATTCAACCTGGGCCCCCAACTCTAATCTGTGCACCACACTGACACTTTCTAGTTTGTGCATTATGTATTTCTAATCTATTGGGGTATGCAACAATCATTTTATATAACCTTAGACACACCAGCTCCTGGTTGTTGTTGTTTTACTCCATCTTTTGCCTCAATCATACTGGACAAAAGACTGATTCTGACTTTTAAGTGACTTAAGGAGTGGGTGACAATCAAAGTCATAAAAATACCATTTGTATCTTGATTGTATTTTGTCATAGTGGGCTCTGGCTTTTGTTAGCCAAGTAGATTTTTAAATTTTGACAAAAAAAGAGTAGGTGGCAGGGAGGTGGAGGAAACTGAATTTGGGTGCTGATCTCAGCCCTATTTAAGGATGAAATTTCAAGTGCAGAAACGTAGCTATCTTCATTCCCTTAATAAAATAACCTATCTCAGTCTTGTTGGCATCATATGGACTTACCATAATATGGTATGCCCGTGATTGCAAAATCTTTTATCAAGGAGAAGCATCTGAGAAATTGAGTGGGAGGGGAAGTGTTTCACCTAGAGATCCCTTCCATTGTTCCATAAAGTGTACCTGTCCCTGTACCATTTGTGCTGCATTTGTGCTATTAAGGGCTACCAACAGCATGGTGACTCATCCACAAAGTCTCCATAACTTTTACTGGTAGAGCTCACTGTGGTATTTGGAAAATACTGCTGTCCAGCCAAGATAGGAGTATTTTGCATGTTGTGTGCTGAACATCTTCATATAATGGGCTCCCCTAAATATTAGCATCACTCTGTTAATATAATCTTGTTCATTTCCCATGGGTTGGTCAAAAAATTGCTGCTTTGAACTGTTGATATGGTAACATTGCCTCCTTTCAGCCTGAAGGGACTAATTAAATAGTAAGGAATAAAGAACATGAAATAGTTCAGGCCAGTGGGTTACATTAATTTCTTGCTAATAGATTTCCAGTTTTTATTACTCAAGGTAGGAGACTGCTAGCAAGGTTCTGTTTAGAGCCCACCAAATTGCCTTTTCATCTTTTAACTTGCCTTAATAAAGCATGGAGTGCTGTTGCCTGCCATCTTGCATATTTTCTCTTTTCTATTATTTTCTGCTCATTATCTTCATCTCTGCTTTTGTTATTTCATTTCTTAAAGTTTTAAATGCATGACTGTCTTAGTTTCTAGCATGTCTTGATCAGCAGGCTAATGTGGTTAAAATTCTTCATTGCCCTAACAATTGACTTTGCTTTATGGAACTTTGGACGGAACCTGAGTCTTTTGGCTGGGGCGGGGGGGCGGAGTTAGTCACTTCCCGGATTCCTCCAGGAATGATAAAGAATAGGCTCTCTAGGATCCCTACCAGTATAGATGCTAGTATTTTGGATGCAGGCTCATCACAGGAAGTTTTAATGTCCCCTCAGAGGCTAAAGGTGATCTGGCAGTGCATTGTACCTACACAAGCCTCAGTGAAGTGAAAAGGAACAATATGAAAAGGAAAAGTGGTAGGTGAATAGCTCTCTTAGTGGATATAGTCCTCCTCTTGGATACGTAAAGGGTAATTCCCAGACTGCAGATATAATTTCTTGTTCCTTTTTTGGTATTGAGCATGACTAAACCAGTGAAAAATTCCCCGGCTGACTCTTATAATTCAGTGTTAGGTCAGCATAGAGCTGGTCTTCTGCCCTTTTGCTTGTGGAGACAGCTTCAACAAACCTCCATTGGATATATAAGCTTACATATTTTCACCTGAGACTCTTAGGATTGCCAAGGTGTGCTAATAATGTAATCATTACATTGACTTGTCCTTTTGGCCAAAAAACTATGCTTGCTGTTGTTTTTTTTTAAGAATCTGTGGTGCCCAGTGGGTACCTGCTTTACAGGATGCTTGCATTGAATGCCTAATACTTTTGCTGTGCCACCAAACATATTTCCTGAACGTAAGGCAGTAATTTCAGTGGAAAAGTAGCATCCTTTGATTTCATTGATTCTGATAAATGCGGTTGGAGGGGCAGCTTGGTCTAATAAGTTTAACTTTTTGTGAAGCTCTGTTTTCTAATTGGTTTTTTTTTAATGTACCTGTTATTGTTTAGTCTGTACACTCCATCTTTGAAGTTGCAGGAATGAGTTCAGGCAATATTCCTATAACAACAAAGTAGAAAAAAATAGTTCCTTTTCCCAACCCCACCCTTACAAAAATGTGATAAGCCACAACCTGCAGGTCATTCAACCAGTTATTCTTGTTAATTTGGATGATATTTCTGTTCATCTTTCTTTTCTTCATTCCCCCCTTTGATTCTTCCTATTGCTCTCTCTTCTATTTTTGTTTTTTGTTTTGTTTGTATGTGTGACATTGATGTGTTTTTTTTTCTTATGGTGTGGTTCTGAACAGAAACAAGCAGAAGTGGTAGATCTTCGACTACAATTATATCGCAAAGGTGGGGGTCTCTTCTAAAAGAGGCAGGAAGTCACTGAAAGGAAACTCCAGAGTCAGTCTTTCAGAACTGTTTGATATCAGCTAAAGAAAACAATCTGTACTGTTTTTTAACAGGATGATAGGAATTTAAACAGCTCAAAAATAAATCTGGTTGTTCCGAAGAGAACCTGACACTGATTGTTTGTTTAAGTTTTTTAAGTGAGACAAAAAGTCAATTTTTCTAGACAGTAGAAAGTTGAATTCCTTAAACTAATAATCAGCCAAGTGTGACCAGCACAACTGTAACGGGGTGTAGCTGCTTTTGGATTACTTTTCTATTCCATTAGCATCTTTGTCTTTTATTCACAGAGGATTCTCTCCCTGTTTCTAGGAGAAAAAAAAAGTGCGTTCGCTACATACAAGGTGAAGGCAGCTGCGTCAGCCCACCCTCTTCAGATGGAAGCCTACTAGACTCTCCTCCGTCTTCTCCTAATATGCTAGCCTCCCCCACAAGAGACTCAAAACCACAGACTGAACAAACCCAACCTCTCTCACTCTCATTGAAACCCGACTCACTGGTGCACCTCTCAATGATGCCGCCCCCACCGTCCTCCATAGTCCTGACGGAAAACTCCACTAGCAAATCCAGCAGTCTGCCTGCTAGTACTTGTCAGAACGGGGGATTAGACCATCAGTCTGCCACTTTACAGCAGTCAGCAGCATCCTCTTCTTTGTTAGTGCAACCATCAACATCCTCCTTGCATTCCCATAATTCTTTGGCTGGGACACAGCCACAGCCACTGTCACTTGTAACCAAGTCTTTAGAATAGCTTTAGCCTCTTGTAGCCCTTTTATTAATTTTTTTCTGTATGTTGAGATTTATTTTTTTCCTTTTGTTGGTATTTTTTTTAAATTGTGCCATATGGCTACATTAGTTGATGTCTATCGAGTTCATTGGTCAATATTTGACCCATTGTTAATTTTGATTATTTTCCCTTTTGAATATGTAGATGAGAAAATAAATCCTCATGATTCTGCCAAAATTTTTATCAACAGCTGTTCAAAGTTTTTGTAGCGTTTAAAATATATATATATATATATAAATATATATATACATAACTGTTATGTAGTTCCAATAGCTTAGTTTCAAAGACTGATTTTAAAAATGAAAAGAAGCAATTTTGAAGCAGCCCTTGCAGAAGGCGTTGGTTCTTTATTATTTGTATTAAATACGAGCTTGCGAACCAATCATTTTACATCTGGTTTTTACAACTTTTTAAGGGCACAATGAATGCAGTGCCGCTAATTTTTTTTCTCTCTCTCTTTTTTTTTTTGGTGTGATACAACTTTTCTTGTGATGTTACTTGTTATTGTTTAAATGTACAGAAACAAAGGGTTAAAATGTGTTAATATACCTTGTTCCATGGTGTTGTTCTTTTTTGGGGGAGGGAATGCTACTCAACAATTAAAAAGTATCACAACGCTATTGGACCAGTAGTATTTATTGCTTTAGAGATTGCTTGTTGTACCTGTACGTTGTCCCCTTTTAAAATGTTTTCTTTTCTTTTTCTTGAAACATTGTATAAAGGATTTTTTCTCTTAGTGTAAGCATCATATATATAACAACTCATTTGTACAAGGTTTTTAAGTTTATATATAAATGTGTATATATATATTTTTGTTGGCTTCTCTTTTTTTGTTTTGCATTTTTTTAATTTGTTTTCCGTCACAGTTGCCACCAAATAGACATTTGAAGATGGATCAATAGTATAAAAATTGCTTTAAAAGCCATTACATGAAATAAGACTTGAAAATTTAGCACGGGGCCTTTTAAAAATGCTGTTGGAAAAGCAGAAGTGCCCCCCCCTTCAGAACTGCAGATAACTTCCCTGCCACTTCTAGGCTGTGAGCAAAACTTTTTATGTGCCAAAATTCTCAGTGAATTTCCCCTTTTCCCAACAACTTTTTTATGCTGTATTTTTTTTGTCCATCCTGTTTTGCTGTGATGTTACATAGGTAGATATGTATGTAGTTTTTAATGTCACCTATTACAGACGTGTTTGGTAGCAGATTGTCCAGAAAGCATTTAAAAATGAAGAGGTATAAACCCTAAAGGGCCAAATTCTGTATATTAGATTATCCATAAAAGGAAAAATGAGACTGCCACTTTTATGTACACATACGACATACAGGTAGGTAGCAAACTTTTAAAAAATCCTAGGCATGTTGATGTTGCAAATTTTTTTAAAAAAAGATAAATGCTGTATAAAGCTGAAAAAATGTTCATCTGTTCATCCAGTGCCATTGTAGTTGACATGAAGCGATTGTAAAACTGTCTCCAGTTTTCTTCTCTGGTTTATTAAGATGCTAACTATGACATTTTTTTTTTTTTTGGTGAATCCTTTGAATGTTTCCTAACAGTTGTGATGTTACTGTTCCGTTTTATTGCTCTTATTCCAATTTTTTTTTTCATTTCTAATGGTTTGGAAGCCATTTTTGTAATGAATAAATGTCCATGCTGTACAGTATCTGTAGCATGCAGTTCTGGATTAATAAAAGCAACTTAGTATGTGCAGATGAAGACTTGGCAGCTCATTTACCTATAGGCTTCATTTAAGCCCCACCTCAGCCAAACAGGTTTTCAGCTTCGTATACTTGCACACCTGTCTCGTGATAATAGCTACACGGAGCATTTGATTATATTTTGGTAAATAAACAGCCAAATGCAATGGAGAATGACAATGGTTAAGCATTTCTCAGACTGCCTGTTCCTGAGGATGTTTTGGAATGTTTCAAATCAGAAGAACCTGAGACTGGACCACGATCAGTCATATACTGTATTTATTTATGAAGCCCAAGCATTTGCATCTGAAAGGTTGTGATGCACTAACGGTGCTAGCCTCAGAACGCTTTCCTGGGAGTAAGATGAACTTGAGTAGGATTCTACCTGCTTAGGATTGCACTGTAAAAGTATTTAGTGAAGCTAAACTGAACATCAATAGCTAACTCTCTAGCATTTGATGTGCACAAAGGGCAGTCATAACGATGAATGGACAGGCTTTCTGTGATCCGTCTTTGGTCTATAAATGCTGTGAAGAAAATATTTAATATTTCTTTGCCTTTGCAGGTTTTGAAGAAGATTCAGGAGATGCATGGTAAAATTCAAGAATTAATTCAGAAGTAGATATGTAAACATTTTGATGGTTCCATTTTCCACTGTTTCTTGCAACATGCATTAAAGAACCCTGCACAAATCCCTGCTAGGTGATATGGGGGGAAAGGAGGGCCTGGATTCCCTTCTCTTGCAACACAAAGTGTAACAGTAGAGGTAAATGAAATTACATACATGACACTTCTATTCCATTATTGAATTATACAAAATGCCTCACAGTGTTGCAAGGAGATACAGAAAACCCTCACATACAAAATACTACCCTCTTTGCAACCTGAGCCTCAGTTTCTTAGAATTTGGCTGCTCTTTGTGTCTTTACTTGTCATGATTCCAGTTTGATTCCCAGTGAGGCCTTTGTGAAAATGGAGAAGGAAAAAATGTCTATCTTCCTTAAAAACAAATGAGGAAACCTTAAGTATTCTGATGTCAGTCATTCCCTAAGGTTAAATGTTGATGGAACCATTTAACATAGATGGAAGATAGTGTGATGTAGTGGCTAGAGTGCCAGACTAGGATCTGGTGACTTTTACTCTGCCATGGAAGTTTCCTGGGTGACTTTGGGCTGGTCACATTATTTTAGGCTAACCTACCTCACAGGGTTGTTGTGAGGATAAATGGAGGAAAGAACAATGGAATCCACTTTGGGTCCCCAGTGGTCAGGATGGTAGAGGACAAATGAAGTAAATAAATAAATAACATTTTCTTCCTGTAACTGTTGAATGGTTATCACCAGATACCCATTACTGCAAAAATACAATTCATGGGGAACAACAATTTGTTTATAGCCAAAAATGTGAAGTTATTCACCAACTAAACTGAGCTTTATATTTTGTACACTTCTGTTCTCCTGATACATGATATTCATAATCTAAAACTCATTAGTTTAAAGGGTAATTGGTGCTTTCCAGCTTCAGACACTACACTTTGGAGAACAGCTTTTTACAAATGTATGGATTCTATATTCAACAGATTGTTTTAGTTTCAGTTTCTTTATTCATCTTTATGTTGTATTGCATCATTTATTGCATCTTGAGAGGATTCATTGTACTATTTTTAAACACTTGTAGCCATGTTGCTTTCTATATAAGCAGAAATAATGTATCTGCCTGAGAGTATAAGTTACGTAAGGAATACTAGAGCTGACGTAGCACACAAAAAATGCATCAATAAGTCTCTTATGAAGGAGAGACCTACATACTTTTATAGGATATCAATTATTCTCTGCAAAGAAACTGATGACAGTATAGGCTCAGGGTCAAACTAGATATGACATTCACATCCACAATTAGGACAAAAAGCAAAACCTCTAGCTGCCCCATACAGCTATGGGATGGGGGTATCTAACCCATAGATCCTAGTACAGCTAGCTCATTCATCATCTGTCTTAATGTGCTGTGACCTGTAATAGCAAAATACAGCAGTAATCCAAGTATAATTCATTCTTCACTTTGTTTCAAAAGTATGGAAACCTATGGCCATAAATTCCATCACTATCCATTTTAAAAAAAAATTGTGAAAGCTAGGAGACTTTAAAATATAAATGTTTCCGTAAGGGTGACCATGGCTGCCAAAAATGGTATGTTTGTCTGCTGAACATGTTTGCTGCAAAGTTTGCAGTCATAGTGGCAGCAACAGCAACAACTTTCAGAAACTGCCTGGCATTTTGCAAGCCTACCGTCTACTTTCTCCCACTTCTCTTAGTCAGTCTCCCCAGCACTCCTTACCTGCCATATAGTGAATAGTTTTCAGAGCCCATTCTCACCTCAATGGCTCCTTTGCTTTAAAAAAAAATGCCTCCTTCATATTCCCTTTCCTCTGGCTCCTATTTCTCAGTTCACTGCTTTGCCCCTTTCTGACAGCCTTGTGCCTGGTCTGCTTGCCCAAAGTTCTCTTAGTTCTCAACCTGCCCCTAAAAGTTACTTCTGTTCAAATACATCTGTTCAAATAGTATTTTTACTCTAGTCAAACTGTGACAGTGTTTCCTTCCCTCACAGTGAGAATCTGGATCGAATGAATTTTTTGTTCCTTGGATAGCTGGAATCTTCAGGGGAAAACATTCTCTAGCATTGCATTAGCCCAGCCAGTGGGTATCAGAGGCTTCACTTCTATAAGTGCAATACAATACAGATAAAATTAAACATTCAATCTGCATTATCACCCCATTAAAAAAGCCTCTCCGCTTCCACTTCTGCTTTCACCTGTACCTTCAGTCCAGCAATGCTTCCATCAAAGGGATCAGGCAAGATATTAAAATTTCCCTCCATTTTCTCTCCACGCCCCTCCCCAGCACACACGCTCCGGAATCTCTCCTTATATATAATTGAATAGTGGGTGCCAAAGTTCTAATTCTAAAATGCCCTCCCTTAGTGTATGGCTGATGGCACTGCTCCTCAGCATATATCGCCACCAATCAGAAGGCAAAGCTCGGGTCCCGCCCACACCACAACTGCTGCGACAACCTGGTCTTTTGCATATGGAAGCTGATTGGACTTCAGTCCATTCCACACCTCAAACTCCCCCCCCCCCGCAAGGCAGTTGGAATTTTCAGTTGCATAACATACCTCATAGGGGAGAGGAGAATGGGTAACAATGGTTACCACTCTCCAGGTGAGGGCTACAGATAACTCAAACATACAAATGCTCTTCAGGTAGCAGAGATCAGTCCCTCTGGAGAAAACCCTGCTGAGGTCGCCACAGG